TTCAAAAAAAAAAACACATGTGTATAAACGTATGGTATTTAAAAACTGTAATACAACCTGAAAGAAGCCCCCAATGCATACCTAATGTTGTACCTCCAGAATTGCAGTTGAACACCCACCAGTGGGTTTAGTGGGAGATGTCGGGTGGCCTCATTTCTGTTCAGACCTCAGGATCGATGCGTTTCCTGCCTGAACTTCTTGAAGGCCTCGCCAGGCCTGGATCAGAAGGTGGTGACTGCACCAGGATTTCATGGTTTAGGTCTGGACATACCCACGGTCCTAAAACTATAGGAGTAAGATATCCCGTCTTCTCTGTGCAAATCAGAACCTTCTTGCTGTCGGGCAGGCCATACAGAGTACAGAAATAAATGGGGTGCTGAGGCTCTGCCTCCATCATCTGTCACCCCGATTATAAATTTTTATAGTCATCAACACAGCCTTGTTGTTCTCATTAGCGTTCTAAGGAACCGGTGTGCATCTGTAATTTAGAACAACAAAATACCGCTTTTAATCTCGTATCTTTAACATAATGAGATGTCAGCTGAGATTTTGATTAAAAAGCAAAGAGAGTCTTCCACCATGGAGGGAGACCAAAGGCTGAGCAAATGGCTGGCCCCTTGTGACTCAGCTGTGTCCTTCTAGAACGGGAGCGTGAGCTCAAGGACGCCAGGGCAGTTGGTGAGCACAGAGGCACGTCTCGCAGCCACCACCCAGCTGCGCGCTCCAGACTCAGCGCACCCTACATCTAACCTCTGTCGGGCTAATGTGATCATCTGTCATGATGGAAATCTGCAAGCACAGGTCAGCGTTCAGTTATATAAGGCATACGGCCTCTACCAGGCCTCTGGGCCGGTTCACTGAAACCATTTGAGATAGTCGGTGCAATACGAACATGATCTATTCAGGGTCGTTTTTAAATCCATTTGTAACCAAGTTCTCAGGACGAGGTGGTCTGGCTTGAGAAGAGTGCTTCGTTAGGATCTAAGGCAATTTCCTCCCCGTCTTGAAAGATTTCTTTTCACAGGCCTGGGGTCTGATCAGGAGATTGTCCTACGAGCTATTGGATCAAGGGAGGCCTTTTAACGTAGGAGCCCAAGCCGTCTCCCCAGGGCCCACCTCGTGTGCGTCCCCCCATAAAGCTAGTCCTCCTGCAGGCGAAAGCCTGGGCAAACGGGGAAGCTGCGACGGCTGAGCCCACGCCCACACGTGTCTTGGCTCCTGTGGGCAGAGCTGCAGGAAGTGGGAGAAGCCATTCTCCGAATGGGCGGCCATTCACTAGCTCTCCCGACTGGCAGCTCTGAGTGCGTGTGTGATTTCAGCACGGCTGATTGCCCCCCAGCTCTACTGATCGGACCCCTTGGGCATGAGGGTGTTTTCCATCAACAGAGAGGAACGGCCGTGCCGCTCCTCCGAAGCAGTGGAGCTATTTCCAAGGTGCCTAGTGGGGCATGAAATCCAGGGAGGAAATGCTGAAGCTCTGCGAAGAATTTAGGTAGGTGGAGTTTGATCATTGAAGTTGAAATCTGTCCAGACCATTGAGTTAACCACTAATGTGATAAAAAATGAAGGCTGTGGGCTCGTGCAATTACTTCGTTCTACCTGAGCCTATTAATATTGTCTCAATCATTACCAAAAAAAAAATCCCATGTACCATTAACCATGAATGATGGAACTGGATAAACCTCGAGCAGATGGCCGCCTTAATGGAGCACTATTCAACACCGCAGTAGTCCTCCGGGATCTGAGATGGCTGTTTTTAGCCACTGTGACTGACATCAGCACGTGTCACCAAATTCACACGGGCAGCGGGGCTTTGGGGCAATGCAACAGAAAATCAGCCCGTGTGCATTCACGAGCAATTAATCCTGAAATATGCATGGGACGGCGTAGGATTTAGCACTGAGACAGCAAATGATTTAGAAAGAGCCCGAGGTATTCGAGCAATGTCCTCGGTGGCCCTTCCACGGGGGAAGAGATAAGGCAACAGCTGGGAGAGAGGTGGCCCACCAAGAGCTCGCCTTGTCTCGATGCAGGCTCTTAGCTGGCCCGGGGAGGTCAGCAGCACCAGCTGCCTCGCCCTCTACACAGATGGTTTCCCCAAGCTCGGGCTGGGAGTAGAGCTCATCTCCTGCCACTCCGGAACTGGAAGAGCAACTGGGGACACGTTTTGAGTGTATGGTAGGCCTAGTGCGTGTGTGAGTGTGTACCCGCTCGGAGCAGCCACATCTGGGGCGTTTTCAGATTCCGCTCCTCCCGTACCGAGAACATGGCAAAGCCTTGAGGGCAGAAGAGAAGAAAGGCTTCCCACCTCCTGAGATGCTCTCGCCCAGACAGCACTGCTGACTGCCCCCACCAGCTCGCCAGAGGGAAACACCTGTTGATCACACACCGTCCGGAAGGAATCTGGAGCTGCATAAGCACGGACTACCACCGGACTTCACGTCTGATGCTCGCCCCAGGTCCGAGGCCAGGGCGGACTGTCCAATAAAGGCTGGACTCAGTCACCAAGCCAGGATAGAGGGCCAGGCGCAAGGAGGACACAGGCAAATCATAGGGGAGGTGGGGAGCAGCTGCGGGTGGGTGAGGTGTCCCGAGTGCCGGTTTGGAAAGAAATCGGCATCAGCTCCGTTTCCAAGTCTTCGACGGTTAGCATTGTAACAGGAAGCCCCCACGGGACCAACAGCCTTACGATGAGGCAGGCAGGTTAAAGAAAGAGACACCAAACGGTAACTCAGTTTTAACGTTTTATTGGGTAAATGATTTTAAAGAGAGTAACAATAGTGTCAAAACTACTACAATATCTTTCCACAGCCATACCTTACAGACCCACGTAAACCTTCTCATTTTTTCCCTCTCGTTCAGTTTTAATATTTTCAAGCTATACATATCATATAAAATGCCCATTTCCAATAGTTTCTTCAAACTATTAAGCAATTAAATGTGGAAGGAAGGAGGATCTAGTTATACTTGGAGGGGGTTTCAGGTAATCTGCGATGTCTCACTGTAATCCAAAAACAGGTTGCTAAGAAAGAAGGAAAAGAAGAGCTACTCCAGGTAGCTTTTGCTCATTACGAGTCTCACCACTGTATCACCAAGAACTCTGTATGCTGGTGACGGATTCAAAGGAATTTCGGGGAACATACAAAACACTAAAATAACTTAGAAACTAGATCCAAATATTTCAAAAGTAATCGACTTTGATATACAAAAACAGTCAGAGGTGGTTACAAAAGTTTGTTTTCTCAGTGCGTCTATGTACCAGCGCAGTAACTGGGTCCAGAGCAAAATAAAAGGTTTCTCTTCTTCTGAAACAGTAATAAAAAACAAGGAAAACAGATCTTTGTATATAAAGGATCAATGCTGGTCTTCAGAATAATGCAATCAGAAACCCTTAAATCGAGAGGCACACAACGGGTTTCTGCTTTTAAAAAATAAAAGGAAAGTCACCAGTTTATTTCAGTGGAGGAGGTGCTCACACCCCTCAAATAAACTTAATTCAGTTGAACATCACTAGCAAAAATCACTTAGAAACTGTACAAAAATAAAAAAGTTAACACATTTAATCCTGCAAGGTTTTTGTAAGGACTGGAAGGCAGGCTTTTGGAGCAGCATTTGGGCATGGCTGGGGGCTTCTTTGGTTTGATCTAACACACGTAAGAGATGGAACCTATTCCAGATGACAGTTTCAAATTTCCTGCACATTTGAAGACATGGAAAGAGGCCAGTATACAAACTTCTGGTGTGCTGGGCATTGGGACTGTGTGTACTGGACTAGAAACTCTTACACCTGCTTGAAGGGGGAGGGGGGACGGAGAGCAAGCCCTGCACCTTCCTCCATCAAGTACACCGACCTCTCATGGTTAGGGGAGACTGGGGCGGGTGGGAGCACACTCTCGTGCAGTCCGAAGGCCACTTAATGGGGGTCGGGGTGGGCTAGGGTGGTGGTGGGGGGCAATTGTTCTTTTAGAATCTGGTACCTGGCTGACTTTAAGGACAAGAAAACCTTCCAGAAACGGAAGCCTTTTGCTACATACCAAAGTAAAACGCGTACTGTTTTCCCAGAGGAAAAAAAAAATACCCAGTTGCATTTGAGAAATAAAACACAGAAATGGAACTAATTAACATTTAAAAGGGGGGGCAATGTAAACTTTGTGCTACTCAAATGAAGTTCAAGTATTACTTCTGAGCTGTTTAAAGATCACTGAACTTATACAATATTCTGGTGATAAGAGTGCAATTCACATTTGTGTTTCTGGACAAATAAACCACAACTGGCTAAAACACAACCTGTGCAATCAGAATCTTCGTCTGAGTTAAAGACACACGCTACATATTTCAACATGTTCCAAGGTCATTCAAACCACAGACTTAACAGCTTTGTACTATACGATGAAGGTGAAAGGGCCTAGCGTTTTTCTGTTTGAAGCACACCATTACAGTCTGCACGACACCCTTTACGCTACAAAGTCTTTTTAGTCAACAGCTATTTAGAGACAAAAAAAAAAAAAAATGCACTGTGCATTCATTTGAAAACAAAAGGAGACAAAACTATCCTTTTCCCCCAAGCCATGGTGGGAAATATTGCTGACCTCGTCCTCTGAAGCCTGCAGGATGGTTATTTCTTCAGTATAACATTATTACACTGGTAAGAAAAAATCTGTAGAACATCTGCATATATCAAGAATTTTTTAAAAATCTGATATGATTTTTAGAGTCCGCATGACCAGTCACGTGACCTGCTCAAGATTGATATAGCACCGTTAAATACATAAACACACATATGTATGTATGTACGTGTAAGTAAATGTATACACACACATATGTATGTCATAGATCTTTTCTTTGAAAAACAACAACAACAACAACTTCTAACCATGAGCTCACCCAGGACAAGGAGCCTGTTGAACTGATGAGATGATGGATAAGATGGGTCAATATTGGTCTATTTTGTCTCTCTTCAGTTTGCTTGTTTTATTTACTTTTTTTTTTTTTTTTTGCAGCAGACAATATCATTCAGCTTGTGCTCAGTTTCCCTATAAGGGCAAGAAAAGGTTTCCATCAGGTAGCCACCTGGTTTTATGCTGAAAGATGAATCTGCTCCAAAACTGCTCCCAAGGAGAAACGAAAGGACTCAAGATCCCTTGCTACAGCCCAACAGCTAGCTTTCTCTGACTAATCTCTAGGTTCAGTGGAACTGGCTACCAGGATTGCATTTCAGGCTAACAATTGGCTTCTTAGTTAAGGCATCACAACTGAAAATGGTTATTTCAACAACAGGCGCTGTGGATGAAGGAATACCACCAAACCTCTAAGGACTCTGATAAAAAATGAAAGCAGTTTCCTCTGCCACAGTGGCAAGCGGAGGGAATTCAGGCAATCAGCGCACCAACTAGCAAAAGGGTTTTGAATTCGGAACTAGCAGTCTGTCACTTGTCACAGCCGACTCTAGGTATAAGCTCCGCCATTTTGATTTTCAGTGACATCTCAAGAGTTTTAGACTACATATTCTGCACCATACTTATATTCATCACTTGATATACTGGTTTCCTGTTGGAAAAAAATTACACACACACACACACACACACAGACACTACAGGAAAATGAAGGTAATCTTTCTCCAGAATCATCTGTCATTTTTCCTGGGGATAGACACACGGACCTCCTACTCCTCCTGACGTTGGGAAGTTCTCTTTGTATGCACCGTGGGAAGACCAGTCCTGCAAATGGGCTGGGCTGTAACAACTCTGTCATTTCTAAATGCCGGCTCCATTTTCATAGGTGTAATGTAACATCTTATCAACATAGTAAATGTGTTTCTATCAAAAGTATGTAGTGCAGAAAGACTCCAGTCTTATCCCCATGACAAACATATCTGAAATCATGGCATATATGAACTTTTGTTTCACTAGATTATCTTTACTATTTCTTTAAATAGTCACTAAAATTGTCTCCGGCCAATCATGACTTATTGAAACCTAAAGCTAACAGGTTTAAATTAATATATAATAGACAAATGTCTCTTTTTTGGTTATTTGCTCAAAATAAATTTTTTCACCTTAAAAAAATACTTAAGAGTAAGGAATTCATCTAATCTGCTGTTTCACATATAGACACAATAAAATTTTATAAGAATATTTCTCTAAATTGCCTTTTTTCCCCCCTAACCTCTCTTAATTCCATTTAATTATATTCTTCTCAAAGGCACTAGATTCTCTATCTGCTCTCTTCCTGATATTTGCTGCTCTTCAAAATGATTTCTGTAGCATATCTGAAAGGTAGCTTGTACTTTCTTAAAACAGTGTTGTAGTTTGTTAAGTTGGTTCTATAAAGTGATGAAGCTGTCTCTTCTATGATAACCAGCACAATAGGCATAAATGATTTCTCACTCTCTGTGACAAGCTCTATCATGGACCTTTGCATGTTCTCTACTAGAACTAAAGTTCATATATTTTAACCATGGGAAAAACACCTAAGGAGTGAAGACCCACATACTAAGCTCTCATAGCAAAATGCGTTTTAGACAAATTCAAGAGTAATATACAAATACCTGAATTTGATACGAATTGCTCCCAAACTCAGCTATCAAAAATTCCCTATCTTACTGAGGAAAAACTAGAGAAAAACCTAAATAAAATCCTTAAAAACTGCACAATTTCTTCCATCCACAGTTGAAAGAAGGAGGGAAGAGAAGACAGAAGGAAGGAAAGAAGACAGGAGGGAAGGCAAGGACAGAAAGACAGGAACCTGATTGAGAGAGCAAAGCAAAATTCTACATAATATGGCAAGGAAAGAAAACCCCAAAAGTTATATATGCTGCAAAAAAAAAAAAAAAATCAATGATCTAAAATAATAAAACAGAATCTTCTTAACAAATGCCACTTTCCTACCCGTTACCATGATGATCTCAACTGATGATGTCCAAGCTTCATCATGGCAACGGAAACTATCATCATAAAATGGTACAGTAAAAGAGATAGCTAGACCAAGAAGGGGTAGGGTCTCCTGGGAAGAGGTCTGCAGAGAGGCCCAGTGACTGGCTGTGCGGCTCAGTGTCAGGAATAATGGTTGTATGGCGGAAGGGGATGCCCAATGCCATTTTGGAAATGATGATGCTGGCGATGAGCAAGGTATTCAGCATAGCTCAGGGTCATCTTTTCACTACGGTACCTGAAAAAGTCAGGGAAGAGACAAAGTTAACATCAAGAAATAGATGACACGCCAATGTCAGAGCTAGGAGGGACCTTAGAGATAACTTTACAGACCTGGAGAGACAGAGGTCCAGAGAGAAGTCGTGACTGGCCCAATGCCACACAACCAAGTGGCGAAGCTGAGATCTGAACCCGGGAATCCAAAGTCTAAGTCCAGTGCTCTTTCTGCTCTACTGCTCCTGGTTTCAGTCATTCTAGAAATTTCCATGCCCAGCCCCCTCCACCAGCCCCAGTTTGCTAGCAGGAAGGAACAGAGGAAAGCCAACCTATTGCCACTGTGTATGCATCTCATTCACTTGACTGTTCTTTCTTCCAGGACCTTCCCTCTTTGTCCATTCCCTTCCCTTCATCCACGCATCTACTCAGGCCTTGCCATTTGGTAAGAATAGCAACAACGAAATGCTTTTCCTAGTACTGGTATCCCGAACCCTCTCTTTCCCCATCTCTGGCTCTCCTTTCACCCCCTCACTTCTCAAAAGTGTAACTTGCGTTTTCTACCTTCAGCCCTTCAACTCATGCCGCTCCTCAGCCCCGTGTACCTTGAATCCTGCCACTCTTCCATGGAAACTGCTCTTTCAGAAGGTCACCCCTGCTTGACCTCTCCATTAGGAGCTCACGCGCCACTCCCTTCCTGAAGCTCTCCTGTGTCGTGGGCTCTACAACTCCACACATCCCTTGTTCTCCCCGCTCCGCCCCCGCCACCACTGTCTCTCAGACTGCTTCTTATCTGACTATTCCTCCTACTCCTGCCTGCTAGGATTTTACTGTGTTTCTGCCTTCAGTTTTTTTGACCCTATACTCTCTCTGCCCCCTCAGGGAGCCTTACCTTTATAGCTTCAGCTACAACCTCTTCACAGATGATCCCAAATCACCATCTCTGGCCACGAGTTCTATCTGTGTACACTTCTGGTGACATATGGGACATTTCTATATACAGATACCCCAGGAAGCACTTCATATCCAGAATCAATGCTGAAACGTGACTCTCCTCCTGCGGTCCCTCCCTTGGCTAAAGGGTGCTTTGGTGCCTTGGTGCTTTTCATCTAGAGTAAAGCCTTGACCTGTTCTTCTTCCCTACTGCTGAATGATGACTAAGTCCTTTTGTTGCTTCCAGTGTTTTCTCGTCCGTTTGCTCCTTTCTTCCCACCCCACTGCCACAGTTCTTATTAAGGCTTCCCATTCACCTCCTTTGGATGGCTGCCCCAGATTCGTAGGTAATAGCAATGTCTCCTAACTCCTTTTCCTGTGTCCCATTCCAGTCTTACACCTCCCCAAATCCATCTGTTTCAAACCCTTCAGCGGCTACTTACTGCCTCTAGAATCAGGTCTACGCTTCCTAGTCGGGAACTCAATACCCTCTATGATATGACCCAACCCACCTTCTGGGCCATGTTTCACTCCCATGACCACCTTCTGTATGCACACTGAAAGACCGGCCAAATCAGACTGTTGAACCTTCCTCAGGACTTGGCTCTATACTTCACCACCCACATGCCTCGACTCACTAAATCAATCCTTTTCCTCCCCCAGCCTCACATATTCTACCCATTCTTCCAGCCCAGTCTCAAACCTCCCTCCTCTCTGAAATGTTATATTATCTAATCCCACCCCTCATGTAAGTCCTCTTTCCCTACTTTATGACTTCAACACCATCCATCACATTCTGCCTTACATGCATCATTATTTTTGTACATGCCCTTCCATTCTCCTAGACTGAACTTGGGGAAAGCAGAGAGGGAGGCATTTTCAAATGTGTAACTCCTCAGAGCTGGGAAAAGTCCATTTTTAGACTATAGGCATTCATTGTGGTTTTATGGAATTGAAACAAATGGAAACAGCAATCCATTTTCCTAAAATGTTGGATATTTTTAAAAAATAAGTATCCCCATCATCCCACGGAAAAATGTATTTGGCATTTGTGAGTCTAGCTCAGTTGTGATTTTCAGTAAGCTTCCATGATAGACTTCTATTGCTGCCAACATCCTAAGGTTAAATTCAAATTTGAAGAGTGCTTATCAGAAGCCGGGGGTTCCGCTAAGCAATGTCCAAAGCTAGCCAAGGGCTAATTCTGGTAACATTCTTCAATAACGTAGTCTACAGGCTTAGAGGACTTGCTCGTGTAGAGCCCAAGGAATCACACAGAGCTAAAGGTGGGAAGACTGGTACGTCACACAAGCCGAGTTCCATCATACCCACCCCCAGGATGGCCCTGCCGTTCATTTCCATTCGGTTTCAGGAAAGAAAAGCAAGTAAGAGAGACCAAAGAGATCAAAGGGTTATAGACATACGCATCGAAAGGTACTGGTTAGCCTGGCGCTAGAAAATGCCTTCTGTACCTGGTCAGTTTTATGGTTTTCCTGAATTCATTAGTTATCGGAGCTTTATATCCTCCTTTCCTCAGTAAGGAGTCTATGGTCTGAATATGGTCCCATCCTGTGGAGAGTAGACCAGATAAAATACCAGTCAAGCACACGTCACAAGCACTTTCGGGCAAATACAAAATGACTTTGTAGAGGTCAGCTATTACTGTCACCAAATACCATCAGCTCCTTTGGTCCTAGAAACAGTCACACAGAAGACCTAAGGCTTCCTCCTGTAGAGAAGCAGGTCTGCCCCCTGCATACCTTAAGTGCTAGCTACCCGTGACGGCTGACAACATTGGCTTTTTGAGCTCAATCGCATTCAAAGATGAGACGTCTAAGAGGCTGGCAGTGACGGTTCAGGCGGGTCTCGGTATTAAACCATGAACACTGCCCTCTCCTCTAACAATGACATCTTTAAAAGGGAGGGAGAAGCCTAAATGTCACTGTGTCAACTCAGTAGTAGTCAGGACTCCCACACTAACTCGTGGTAATTACCGTCCCTGATGGTATCTTCTGGAGTCAGTTAAGTGTATCTGTGTGAAGTATGCAAAGACATTTTTATTGGTTCTGATGTGGGATGGTATGCTTAATATCCGAGGCCCCCTCTCCCTCGTATACACTTTATGAAGCCAACGGGAACTACAGGGTTGAGACATTTTTGAAAACAACCCCAATAAATCTTCCGAGAGCTGTCTTAAAGACTAACTCTCTTGACGATGGACTCTGAAAAACAAACTGAGGGTTCTAGAGGGGAGGGGGGTGGGAGGATGGGTTGGCCTGGTGGTGGGTATTGAGGAGGGCACGTTCTGCATGGAGCACTGGGTGTTGTGCATGAACAGTGAATCATGGAACACTTCATCTAGAACTAATGATGTAATGTATGGGGATTAACATAAGAATAAAAAAAAAAAAGAAAAAAAAAAAAAAGACTAACTCTCTTGTCGGGGTGGGGGGCGTGTAATGATACGAAATTGTACGGTTATATAGCTCACATTTATATGAACCCAACATGAGAGAAACCCAATTGCAGATGCTTTCTGATGAGGGGGGAAAAAGCTCTGTAAGATAAAGAAAAAATATTCATTTCAACTGACGTGAAAAACTAGAATTTCATAGTGGCTAGAAAGGACAAGGTGTTACAGAGTGAAGAATTCTTTTGTGCTACAGTGGTGGTTCATAAACATTTGTGCTCTATCTGCCAACACAGAAACACGTTTGATTAGGAAGCGCAGACCAAGCAGATCAAACACGAAGACTTCGTGTAGTCTTGGTGCTCCTGATCTTAATGGGAAACCTACAATCCTCACAGTAGCCGAATGAGTCCCCGGCAAGCACCTGAGAGGAAACATTTGATATTGACAATGTACCACGGGGCTGACGGTTAGACCGAAGGCTTGTTTATGCCAAATACAGTACACTGGGATTATGAGAAAAGGGCATTTCGAACTCCTAGCAAACCACTGCCTAAAAAGAAAACCCCACTTCTACAAGGCTTTGCTCTGGGGCAAGTTATACTTTTGCGTGTTTTTGCTCTCCCACTTTAGTGCAGAGATTCAACTTCTGTGGGAGTCATTCACCGATCTCATGCAGACATGGCAGTGCCAGGGGCAGAAGAATCGTTTCTTCTCATTTGAGAACTGCCAGGTCAGAGAAGCGCACTTCAATGTGTGTATTTGTTCAACTTTCTTTCTTCAGCAGATCATAGGAAATAAAGTACGACAATGACCTTGCTCCTTTGCAACCTCCGGTAGGTAGGTGGCGGTGCGTTTTGATCCTTTTTCATTGATGAATTCTATTCTAATACCATGTACACCGACCTGAAAGAAATGGGCAGTTTTATTAGTACAGTCTTCTTCATAGAGATTGAAAGGAAAAGTTATAATTTAACTTCCAAGACAATGCAGTTCTTCCTTTCCCCTGGTTTCTGGAAGGGCATATCTATATACACAACATTTTTCTCTTTCCAAAGCACTGACTTTGGGTTTGAGGGCCATTATGATGGCCGTGGAGACTGAAAACATCGATGGATGTGCCCCCGACGTGCATTGGGCTATGCTATTCTGTCTGGACCCAGAACACCCATGCTGCTGTGTGTAGAATAAGACTGTCGAGGGCAAGAATTCTGCCCCCACTCCCAAACTGTGGCTCACGACACTAAGGAACTACAGCAAGGGAGCTGACTTCAAAGAGACAGCAAACACGCATCCTGTTTTCAGATATAAGCGCCAGTTTGGATTAAGTTCCA